CAAAGTCCCAGCTTCCTTGCCCCAATCTTGTCACACTCCCACCCCAGCCCCTACACTGAACATAGAGTGACATCCTTCCCCACATCCTTCCCCTGATTACCTCTACTGTGGGCCTAGTTCTCTTTCCTACTCCCCTAGAAGACCAACGTTCTCCCCCACCCCACCTCGCAACCAGGGACTTCTAAAAAGCTTTGCAGCTCAGCTCTTACAAGAAACTGAGACATGACACAAAACCCAACAGAGGAATAGAGGTGATTCCAAAGGGAAAGAAATCTTATGGGGTTCTAGCAGCCTCTGGGCCTGACTGCTCTCTTCATTCTAGGTTCTCAAGGATTCCTCCCAGGACTTAACTCTCAACTTTAAGGCCCAAGGGTGTGGCCAGCTTGAGCTCATCCCAGTTCCGCTCCCTGCACACCCACTCACTCACCCTGAAGATGCAATCAGCCTGGAACATTAGGTGTCAGTGGAGTCCCAGCTCACATGGGTCCCACCCCAGAGTTTAGCTGCTCTGCACTAGGTCAGAAGAGATTCCCCGGCACCCTTCCAATCTAACACTTTGTTTTTGTTTCTTGGCACACCACTCCCTCTCCCCCCTCCCCTACCCCCGGAGCACTGGGCTGGGGATCTCAAGGACAGCCCAGCAACTGCCAGCCCACAGGATGATAATGCAGAAGCAATCAGCAATGGGAAGGAAGCTTTTGATCCTCCCAAAGGGATCTGCAGTCTGAGTCTTGACTGTGGGCACCCCACCCTGGATTTACTAAATATCAGGATGGTCCTTCAAATGGCCCTACACAATCTGTTCCGAGGTCTTAGCCCTGGCAGTCCCTGTTGCCTGGGATGCTTTTCCTTCAGATATCTGCATGGCTCATTCCCTCCCCTCTCTGAGGTCTTGGCTCTTATCCCCTTCACAGGGAGGCCTTCTGGTCTTCCTGATTTAAGATCCTAACCCGACTAGGGCACTGCCTCCCCTTACCCTGAACCCACCCTCACTGCTTCCTTTTTTCCTGAGACTTATCTCTATATAACATATTCTACATGGTACTTATTTGAATTTTTTTTGTCTGAGCCCCCTACTAGAATATAAGCTGCTATTCTGGGGATACCACTGCTATTTGAGGGGCACTGCTATTTTGGGGAGGTACTATTTGGGGGACACCACTGGTCACCAGAGTCAAGAACCATGTCTGGCACATAGGAGGGGTTAATGAATATTTGCTGAATGAGTGAATGAATGGTCTGCGAAGAGACGGCCTTCGCTCTCTCTGACAAAACATCAAGAGCTACATTTATTGAGTGCCTACTGTGTGCAGGCCCTCTACAAGACACGTTATCTGCACTGACTCATCCTACCCTCACATCCACCCTCAGCAGAGGCAGCGGAGAGGAGTGGCCTAGCTGAGCCCACACCCCTAACCACTCTCCCAGGCTGGGGGAGAACACAGTTCCAGAACGAGTCTACAGCCCCTCTTTCAGGCTCCTGAGCCCCAGTCCAAGAGAGGCAATATTGGGGCCCCCATTAAGAGCCACAGTGGCCTGAGGGGTTCATTTATGTAGGCCCCATCATTTTACAGGTAGAGTCTGAGACTCAGGGAGCCTTGCTTGCTCAAAGTCACAAAGAGAGCCCAAGACGGGAGCCCCATGTGGTTAAGAAGCTGGCTTCAAATGCTGACTTTGCCTCTTTTTAACTGTGACCCTAGCAAAGTTCCTTAAAGTCTCTGAGGCTCATTCATAAAATGGGGATAATGCAGATGATCATGTACAAAAACAACTTAGTCCTGAGTAAGAGGAAGATGTTGATAACGTGCCAAGGAGCCGGCATGGAGTGGAATCCAGGCCACCTGATTGGACTTCTTTTAGAACCTCAGGCTGGGTCTCTGGCTTCTTTCCTTGCCTTCTCCTTCCCCTTTGGGTTGGAGGTGGGCAAACCCAGGTGGGCCCAGGTGAGCCACTGGCCTTGCCCACCCTCCGTCTTCACCCACAGCATCGGCTCTAGGATGCCCCTGCAGGAAGTCTCTCAGTCTTCCTATTCTTAGCTGCTACTCGTGCCTCTCTCCCAAGAGCCCCGAGGGTGGATGGCTCACCACACGCTCTGCTCCAAGAGGCCCTCCTCAAGCCTACCTACTGCCCAGCTTGCCCCTGGACTCTTCCATGATGTTCCACCCACCTCTGACTGCTCTCAGGGCAGTGCCCTGTCTCCTAGGCCTCTCCAGACTCCGCTGCCTTTAGACGCTTCTCCTGGTGATCTCACCACATCACCATGCCTGGTCGTTCTCGGGCAGTACTTCCTCCCTCCTCCATCTTCAGTGGAGACGGAGCTGGGTTGGGTAGCAAGAGGCCTGGACCAGGGGCCAGGAAGCCCACATCTGAGTCCCAGCTCAGCCAGTGAACTTCAGCAGGAACTGAGGGAATCCACAGCCTCCTCTCCGGGGGCCCAGACAAGGAGACCTCTAAGGCCCTGTCTTCAGTCTCCCCATCCATAAGGGCTGGACTGGATGGGGAAGGTCTTGTACACTCCACATCTGGGGCGCTCTGTTGAGAAAGACCCTGAGGTCACACACATCTGGGCTTGGTGGGAAAGGGTTTTCTCTGCCCCTCCCATTCAAAACCTTGTGCACATCCCATCAGCTCCCCCTCCCAACTATATTCTGAACCCAGCCACCTCTCATGGTGGGCATACTTGGATACTACCGTGGTTTGTTACCTGTGAGATCACATCGCTTGACTACTGAAAATACACCAAATGCTCTCTCTGTCCTTAGTGTGAAATCCATGTTCTTTCCCAGGCCTGCTATGATCTGGCCCCTACCTGCCTCTCAGACCTCACCTGGAACTATCTTTTTTCATTTTTACTTTCATTTCATCAAATCTCAGGGCCTTTGCACTTGCCATTCTTTCTACCTAGAATGATCTCTGCCTGCCCCCCAGATCCTCAGTCTTCAATGTCTGCCTTCAATGTCTTGAACACAATGACTTGCATTCAAGTCACAACCCAAAAGTCACCTCCTCAGAGAGGCCTTCTTTGACCACACAATCTTTATTATTATTATTATTATTATTATTATTATTATTATTTTAATGTAAGCTCCATGCCCAACATGGGGCTTGCACTCACAACTCGAGATCAAGAGTCCCATGACTGAGCCAGCCGGGTGCCCTGACCGCACAGTCCTAAGCAGGCTCCCTTCCCCTCTGCCTCTTTCTACTGGATCACCCGGCCTTTTCTTTATGGCACTTCCTACAGGCAAGAAACATTAACTTGTTTATTTTTAATGCCCTTAAACATAAGCTCCAAGAGGGAGAAATCCTCCTATAGGTGCTCCTGTGGGTGTCCAGTTGGTAATGGGTGCCCTGTAAATACTTGTGCAATGAGCGAATTCTGCTGTGGGTGTGTGGTCATAGGGGTGGAGGCAAGGGCCTGGCACTTTCCATCTCTGGGCCAGATGGTGCCTGACAGCCTTCCCTCACATAAGGCCTCACTTACCCTGTGGTGTCTTCCCACCCCCTCCACCCCTGCTCACGGTGGGCCCTCGGCCCTCCCCGCTCCGCCCTGGCAAACCCCTCTCAGTATTCCCCATGCTGCCGATCTCTGTTGAGGAATCAACTCCCAGAGGAGTTGTCACTAAAGGCACAGTTACAGGAACAATGAAAACACCCAGCATCACCCAAGGGTCGCTGCCTTCACCTCTGCCCACCCCTCACTCCCCCACCTGTCTGCCTGCATCCTTCCTTCAACCTGGCCTGTCACCCCACTGCCCCTCCATTCAACAAACCACACTGTTTGCACTGCTGCCAACTCTCTCTACAATGCGCTCCTTCCATCCTCTGGGAATCCAAGGAATCCCATCTCTAGGACACACAACCACTCATTAACTGGGCCGCGGGAATTACGATGATTGCCCTGGCTAATAATCCCAATTCCCACAGCAACACTTCCCAAGTCAGCATAGTTGGTGCGATTCATCATCTCACCCTGTCACACGTCTGTCCACAAACACTTCCTGATGCCTACTCCTCACGGGTCCTGAGAGGTCCGCACTGAGCCCTGCCCGCCTCAAGCTGACAGTCCGCCTCAGCCAGCTGGGTGTACACCAGAAAAAAATATGGACTAAGAGAGAGTCCATGGACCAGAGAGAAACTGCTAGATGGTGAGAGCCACAGGACAGGTCTACGTGGCCTGGCATCATTGGGGACACCAAGCAGTGATGAGCTGCCCCTCTCCCTCCAGCCAGGTGTTCTGTGAAATGCACCGCTAGGGAGTTTTTAACTTGATGCAGAGTGTTGCAAGGATACAGCATCCAGATAAGACTCTGAGGCTCCTTGGAAGCAGACTGCCCACTAGGCCCCTTCCAAGGAGAAACTGGGGAGGCGCCCCTGGGGAAGGTGGAAGGAGGAGGGGCTTGCACCCTCCAAATCGGAGGGTGGGAAGGAACAACCTCAGCCAACACTAAGGTAGGAACCTCAGACATTTGAAGGGGGGGGCCCTGTGGGGAGATGGGTCAGAGGGCACCCAGGATCCCCCTCCTTGGCGGGGAGAAAGCTGATGAGGAAGGTGGGAGGCAGGCAGGGTCTTTAATCTCAAGCAGGTAAATATTGGATTTATTCACTGGTTTTGCTCAGAACAGCTTGGAATTTTGCATGCAGAAGGGAAGAAGAGGGAGAGAATGAGCAAATTCTCATTTATTGTACAATGTGGCACCACAATAGACACCTCTCACCTGCTCTGGTTTAGTTCTACAACAATCTCATGAGCTAGAGATCATCCCACCTGTTTTACAGGTAGGAACCTGAGGCTAAGAGAGTGAATATGATCTAATGTTCATAAAGGTTATGAAGGACTCCAATTTACCCTTCCAGACCCACCCTGGGGCCTCACCCTGCCTTACAGACTGCAGCCCAATCAGCTTTGTCTCCCTCAGTGCCAACGGGAACCTGGCTACATACCTGGGCCCCCACTGAAGGGTACCCCTTGTTCCTCAGGACATCATGAATCCACTCACCCACTTCCAAAGCATCCAGGGGATTCTGGTGACCACCAAAGTGACTGTCTCGAAAGTAGATGCTGGCCACCCCAGGAAGTTCACAAAGTGATCCACTGGGGTATGGGAAGAAAGATCAGAATTTGTATTCTTATTTAGTCTTTAATCTTAACTTTCTAAATCTTCCATTTCGATGGATGTTTTATAATGCACACATTAGCACAGTAGAACATTTATACCCAAGTTTTAACAAATACGTTTACATTTGAATACAAAACACATGCTCAAAAATATTTTTTACAGAAAGGGGTATGCAACAAGAGTTTACATTAGCATTGGAGGACCCCAGCAATTGAATTCTCACTTGAGAGGCAGTGGCGGTAGAAACCCTGAACCAGCTGGGTTCAGATCTTTCATCAGCTATTTCTGAGCTGTGTGGCTGGGTGAGTTTATAGAACTTTCCTAAACTTCTGTTCCCTCATTCAGAACTGGGATGGCTACAGCACCCACCTCCAATTGATTAAAGCCTACAGCCCAGAGTCTGGCACCTGAATGATAGACACAATTATTATTACTTCAGTCACAGGGAGGAGGGCTGGACCTGGTCTGGGCCTTGTGGTGGGTCAAGCCCTTGAGAACTGCATCTACTATGGAGGCATAAGACCCAGAATAAGTCATTACACATCAGCGTTACCAGGATTAAGACAGAGATCGCTAAAATTGCTAGGGGAGGCTGACATCCTTATTACTGTCCTGGAGTGACAGGCCAGGCAGAAAGAGATGGCCTCAGAGGGTCGTGTACCCTCACGACAAGATGTTTGTAGCACTTAGGAACTCTTCCCAGGGCACGAAGCCCTTTCTTATCTAGCAGTAGCATGCTGTAGGGGCAAATTAGAAAGACAGAACAGTATCTCTCAGGTCTAGAAGCAGATGGCTCATGAGAGTATGGAATTTCCCTTCCTAACTGAGATGTGGCCACAGGTAATCAACTGATTCAGCTGACAGGTACCCAGACCCCCCTGTGAAGATGGCCAGGGGACCATAAAGATGAAGGAGTCATGGTGAGGGTATATGAGCAGAGATTGAACAGGCCCTAAAAATGGAAGGAGGCCCTAGCTACCTGGAGATGGATAGGCTTGGCAGTGGGGACTAAGTAGGTAGGTGGGGACTTACTATCCCATTTCACAGATGAGGAAGTGGAAGCTTAAAAAACAGAAACATTTGTTTTTTCTCAGGATACCTTAGCCTGGTACAATTGCAGCTGATGACTCAGCCCTGACCTCCTCCTTCCCCCCTTAGCATCAGTAGTCTCTGGCTTTGAGATCCCTGTGGGAATTAGGAGCCCTGGTGTCTAAACCTATGCTGTTACTGCTCCCTGTGTGCATCCTGAACAAATCCTCTGTTTTCTGAACCTCAGCATTCTTATCTGTCCAAGAGGTTGATTACTAAGCTCCACTTTTGCCCTCCTCTCCTACTTTTCTTCCAATTCTCTCACTTCAAAGCCCTTCCAGAAACTTATCTCAAGGGGTTAAACTCTTCTAGGGGCCTTAGTGACCGCAGAGTGGATGTGAGCCCGTCTGCCCCAGACTCAGAGACATCTCCATGCTGGGGAGCCTGCCCCTTGTCCCCAGCTTTTCCTCTACTCCCTCAGCAGCTTCAGCTGGCCCAAATCCCTCCTCCAAACTCACAAACACATGGACCCTTTTTCTGCCAGGGCCATGGAGGTAGAGGGGGGGAGGCTTTCTACATCAATTAGCTCACTTGAGCCTCACAATGATCTGAGAAGGTAGCTCTATGGACCTATTTTCCTGATGTGGAAACTGATGCAAAGATCCTTCTTGAAGCCCAGTGTTGGACGTGGAGGTCTTGGCCTGTCTGACCCAGACCCCAAGTTTTCCTATGACACCTTCCCGTCTCCCCCTCAAATCCTGCCTCCAAGTGTTCAGAGTGGCTCCCAACTCTGGCCCCTCCCTCAAATGTAACATTATGCAGCCATTAAAAATAATGATTACACATACACGGATGACTAATAACAACACAAGAAAATGCTTATGACACGATGTTAAAAGAAAAGCAAGACACAAAAATTGTAAATACAGTACAATAAAATGATATCAACGTGATTGTGCACAGAAACAAGACTGGGAAAGAAAACACCAGAATATCCGCAGTTGTTGTGTGTGTGTGTGTGTGTGTGTGTGTGTGTGTGTGTGTGTGAGAGAGCACCACGGGCGATTTCTTCTTTCCTACTCTTCCCCATTTGCCAGTCAATCCCTGCACATTACTTTTACAACAAGGAAAAGATATCATGTACAAAAAATGATAGATTTGTGGTTGAAATACTTGGAAACCTGCTGTTTCCTCTTCAACTTGCTCTCCTTCAAATCCCTCCAGTGCCTACATTTCAGTACAACGTGACTATACCCAAGAGACGTCGCAGGAGTTTGGGGAGCAATCAGACCCTGCAGACCCACGCCCAGCTCCACCTCCCTGCTGCCTGCTTTGACCAGACCATCCCCAGCGTCCAGGGAGGGGCCCCCCCCCAACCCGGCCCCTCCTCCCAGCCCCCCGCCCGAGCTCCTGCTAACGCTCACCTGACACTCGCAGGCCGGCCTCTCGGAGATGCGAGATGAGCACACCTGTCCCTCCAGGTGAGGACTCTGCCCGGGCGCCGCGCGCAGGAAGGAGGGAGCCGGTCGGGGGCGGGGCCGTGACGCCACCTTCCAGCCCCGCCCCCGGCTCCCGGCCACGCCCCGGCTTCTCGGCCCCGGGCGCTCGTGACTGTCATGCTTGCCGGGTGAGCCGCTGGCGACACTCCTCCGGACCCGCGCGCCCCCGTGGGCGGGCCCCGGCCGGCGGCAGCACCTGCCGAAGGGAACCTCCAAGCGCGCCCTCGGGGAGGGCGGGCTGGGAGGGGAGGTCCTACTCTTCGCAGACGAGGGCCCCTTTGAGGAGCCTGGGAAGAGCCGGGATCCCCCACGACCCCCTGACTCCGCCTCCACCCCTGCTTTACGGAGAACTGTTGGGGCCGTAGATCCCAGGTTCAAATAACCTGGGTAAGGAATGGCGTCCGGGGGACGGAGGGAGCCTCTGATTCCCCCGAATGTCTTCTCTCGGTACCCCACTCTATGCTTCCCTAGGACCCTTCCTCCGACGCCTTCTGCTAAGGAACCAGGAATCGGGGGAGAGAGGAGTGACCTAGAAGTGTGATTCCAGCCCTTGGGGGTTGGGGAAAGGTGATCTGGCCTCTGACGCCTGTAGTCAGAAAACTGTCTTCACCTACTTTTTATTTATTTATTTGTTTTATTTATTTATTTATTTATTTATTTATTTATTTATTTATTTATTCATGAGAGACATAGAGAGAGAGGCATAGACACAGGCAGAGGGAGAAGCAGGCTCCATGCAGGGAGCCCGACGTGGGACTCGATCTCAGATCTCCAGGATCAGGCTGGAGGCCGCGCTAAACCGCTGAGCCACCCGGACTGCCCTTCACCTACTTTTATATCATCTGAGATTGCTTATATTCGGCAAAGTTCCCTGTTGGAAATGCCAGCCCCCTTCTGGCGATGGCAAAAATAAAGGGCACCACTTCTTTGAAAAGGCAATCAGGCTTCACCTATCCAAAAGCTTTAAAAACGTGCTTGTCCTGGGACCCAGCAATTGCATTTCTGAAAATCTACCCGAGGAGGTCATTCAGAATACACATTCATTGTGGCATTCGCCCGGCTTTTTTCAAATTGTGGCATTCTTTATAATGGTGAAAATTGGAACTAGTCTAGGTGTCCAACACCCGGGGCAGGGGTGAACAGCACAAACACACAATGGAATATTACACAAGCATTAAAATCATGTTTACAAACAGCTTATAATAATATGAGGAAATGTGCTATAATATTACAAGAAGAAAAGCAGGATGTGAATGTGTGTTGACAGCAGGATTACAGTTGTACTTAAAAGCAGAACACACTTGTGTACACAGGAAAGAGCCTGGAAAGAAAATGCTTGCTGTGGTTCTTTCTGAGCACTCTCTGGGCACTTATGAAGCTTGTTTTTTTTTTTTTTTAAATCCTTCTGTTTTGCTGTATTTTCTCCTAATGGGCTTATATCACGTTTATAGAGCTCCTTTATTTCATAAAATGTTCACATTAACTGAGCACTTCCTATAATCTAGGATAAACCCCTTTCATGTAATCTGTGCAATAGCCATGAGGTAGGAATCATTCTTTTCCTCAGGTTGCAGATGAGGAAACCAAGGTCTGAGAGGTTGTTTCCCCAGGTCACATGGATAGAAAGGCTCAGAGATCCTTTCTCTCTTTCAAGGCCAAGGAACACTTTAAAACACCCTCCGGGGGCAGCCCGGGTGGCTCAGCGGTTTGGTGCCTGCCTCCAGCCCAGGGCGTGATCCTGGAGACACAGGATCGAGTCCCGCATAGGGCTCTCTCCATGGAGCCTGCTTTGCTCTCTGCCTGTGCTCTGCCTCTCTGTCTCTGTGTCTCTGATAAATAAATAATAAAAAAATAAAAATAAAAACACCCTCCGGTTAGCCACCAGGCTACAAGGGCCACCAACTTCAGGTAAGGAGTCAGGGATGGGGTTTGTCCGCCCTTGGGCTTCATTCACGAGTTGGGGCAGTGAGCAAGGAAGCCGCAGAGTCTCAGCAAGCCCTCCTCCCTGTGGATGAGTCCTTCCCTCTTGCTGGGGAGGCTTTGAGGCTGACTCCTCCCTGGTGGGACCTTCCCAGAGACCAACCTCCAAGGCTGAGAGGTCAGTTAGCTCAACCTTGTCGGTCAGTTTTGTAACCTTAATATGTTTTCTGATTATAAAAGTAATATATATTTATTATAGAAAATTGGAGGTCAATAAAATATAAAGAAGGAAATAGAAGTCAATCCCATTATTGCTTTACCTTTTATTATAGATATTTAATTTTATTTTATTAGTTTTTTTATTTATTTTTAAGTAATCTCTATACCCAACATGAGGCTCAAACTCATGACCCCAAGATCAAGAGTCTCCTGTTCCACCAACTGAGCCCACCAGGTGCCTCCAGATATTTTAAATAACATTAAAAAAGGGGACTATGGTATAATGAACCCATATACCCATCACTAAGTTTCAACAAACATCAGCTTTTTCCATTCTTGCTTCATCCATCCCCCACCTACATTTTGTTAAAGGAAGTTCCAGATATCATATTATTTCATCTATAAATACTTCAGTAATTATCTCTCACAGATAAAGACTTTGTGGAATAACAACAACGATACATACACAATAACATTATTACACCTTGCAATAGTGACACTTATTTTTTAATTTGATTATTTCATAGGCAATTGATGTTCAAATTACCCTAATTTGTTTCCAAAATGTCTTTTCCAGTTGATTTCTTTGAATGAGGATCCACAGAAGGCCCTCCTATTGTATCTGGCTGATATTACACACCATAAAATTAATCATTTTTAAAAGGTTTATTATTTGAGAGAGAGCAGGAGGGAGGGGCAGAGGGAGAGAGAATCTCAAGCAGACTCCTCACTACATGAAACCCGACACCTACACCAGGCTCCATTCCACAACCTGTGATCAGACCTGAGCTGAAATCAAGAGTTGGAGGCTTAACCAACTAAGCCCCACAAAATTTGTACAAAATTGACCAAAACTTAAAGTGTACAGTTTGGTGGCTTTTTTTAGATTTACAAGATTTGCAACCATTACCACCACCTAATTCTTGAACACTTTTGTTAGAGAATTAGAAATTTTGTTAGGGAAAAGGAAATCCTATATCCACTAGCAGTCACTCCCCACTCCTGCCCTCCGCTAGTCCCTGGGGACTTCTCGTCTACTTTTGTCTTTGGCCCTATTGGAGGTATTTTGTAGAAAGGTGATCGCACATTATGTGACCTTTTGTGTCTGGCTTTCCTTTGCGTAATGTTTTCAAGGTTCAACCATACTGTGGCAGGTGTCACTACGTCATTCTTTTTTATGGTCGAATGATATTCCAGACTTTCTTGCCCAGAGTCAGGAGTTGGTTGACTGCATGCATCCCTGTGGTGTCTTGAACATGCTCCACTCCATGTTTCCTACCAACTGGTAATTGAAATGTAGACTTTGGAGGCTGGAGGCTTGATTTGATTTGGACTCAGTGATTTTATCTAGAATATTCCACAGATGATGTTGTGTTCTTTCCTGGTGCTTCAGAGCAGGAGCTGCAGTATGTCAAGCTCCTCCATCTTTTAGGGATGGTAAGGTTGATTGGCCCCTTTAGGTGTTGTTAGCCTCATCATCTGTTATAAAGTTACCCATCGACATTCGATCCCCTGATGTTAGCATCCATTGATGGTCACGACCTAAGTCTGCTCTTTCACTCTTCAGTTTATAGAAAAGGAAACTGAGGCAAAGAAAAGAGAAGTGACTTGCCTAAGGTCACAGGGTTAGTAATAATGAACTATGAATAATGAACTATGCCTGGTGCTACGCTAAACACTTCGCATGAACTGACACATTTAATCCTCTCAACACTGTGGCTGGCTCTGTATTACGATCTTCCTTTTCAAATGAGGAAACTAAGGCCCCAAATGTTGAAGAAACCTGCCTTTCTTTGATGAGTCATTTGGTAATTATTGTCTTGAGGTTCCAGATGACAGAGAAATAGGAAAACACAGTTCTTGCTCTGCTAAATATAGACATAGGCAAGGTGAACAGAATTTTAAGAGAGAAAGAGACGGGAGTCATGGAAGTCTTCCCAGAGGAAGCATCGCTAGAGCTGGGCCTTCAAGTATGTGTAGGAGTTTGCCATGGGGCGTAGAGGCAGAGGAATGAGTTCACCATATGAATAAGGCCTGAGGTGTGATTTAGGCTGTGGTTGAAGACTCCATTCCATACGATGAACATATTCTTACAAATGTCTGCCTTTGAGAAGGAGGAAGAGAGAGGGTGTGGTTTGACCCCACACATACTCAGAATATGCAGACTTATTGCAGAGTGAGGAGGGCAAGGAGCACTGGCCTAGGAGTCTGGAGATGAGTGTTCAGTGGGCTGTGAGGCCCGGATGCTGTACCCAGGTACAGTCCCTGCCCTCAAGTGCCTAAGAAAAATGGAGGGAGATAGACCAGGGCATCATTAGCTCTTGCCCTGGAAAGGGGAAAGGTCATTCAGTCCCATCCCAGTCCTCAGCTCCAGCTCCAATATTCTGGAGGGATCCTACCTCACATATCTGGACCATCGAGTGAAAAAAACCTCCAGCAAACTGCACTTCAAAGTGCCTGCTGTGCCATATATGTATTTGCTTTTATGTGTCCTTTCCAAGACATCTCTGGAAAGGTCCAGAAGAAAAACAATTTGCAAATCATGCTTTCCTGAATATACAAAGAACACCTAGAAATCAATAAGAATATAAGGATGTGAACAGGCTGTTCATAGAAAAGGAAATACAAAGGTCTCTGAAACTCAGGTCAAGACTGCAACCTTATTCAAAAGAAGAAAAATGCAAAATAAAATTATACTGAGATTCCACCCTCACCCTCACCAGGTGAGGAAAGTCATGACATTTGAGAACACACTGACTGCACGTCTCTGGGGGAGCAGATGCCTTCATCTGTGGGAGAGTAAATAAGTAAAGCCCCCAAGGAGGGCAGTGGTAACATCTGTCAAACTGACAACCGCACATTTCCT